CCCCTCCCCATTGGATGTTATATGGCGTGAGGACACGCCTTCCGGAGGGGGGCGTTATGTCAGACTCTGTTCCGTGTTTTGTGGTTGTTTTGCTCCTCATGTGCCTTCCTTTCCCATGTTTAATTTTTCCCAGGTGTTTCCCATGATGTTTCATTGCTCCCAGGTGTGTCTCGTCATCCCCTCCTCCTGTGTGTATAAATAGGGTTCCCTGTGTGTGCTCCAGGGTCCGGTATTGTTTATGTCTACTCCTCGTGCTACGTGTGATTCCCCGTGAAGATTAATAAATTCCTTGGTTGTTGTACTCTTGGTCTCCTCGTTCCTTGCTCCGTGTTCCCGCACCGTAGCAGATCGTGACACAGGCTCAGCACCCTCCTACGTCCTCCTCACTCTTACTAATCTACATCCCCTCCAGAAGCCTGAGATCTGTAAGTAAGCGATGCCTTGTGGTAACATCACAGAGAGGCATTTTCGTTCACCTTTCCTGGCTGGTGAAATTATCTTCCCACAATCGCAGTAATTAACAGAACACCCGACACGTTATCTGACAGCAACACTAATTTAATCCCATACCCGACCCATTTGACATAAAAACTGGCACCCGAACCGCACCTGCATTAAATCTCTTACATGAGGTAGACAAAACTCATTTATTAAAACTTTTATTCAACTTGTGAATAGATTAAATAAAGAAAGCAAGCAAAGAGCGCTACCTTTAATATAATCACTACAGCTGTCAATCAGTGGCAGCGCGATCGGCTACTTTGCTCAGCGTGTACTGGACCAAGTCGAAATAGTCTTGGTTATTGGACCCACAACCTGCCCGTGCTTGTCACCGTCTGGCCCGCACCCACACCACACCCTACACATAAATATTATTCCACCCGTTACATCAAATATTAGCGATTCACCTGCATGTACCTGCCCGCATGCACGACTCTGGCTTCCCCCTTGTGGACAACATAATAGACAACTCTGGTCCCAGAGAGTGATTGTAAATTAAGTTTACATGAAATATGTTTGAAATTTCATTCTGCATTTTCTGAGATTTCATTGTAATCATTCTCATAAAGTCACTGAATTTACCATTAACTGTTCACCTGATTGCGTGTGATGTTAGAGTGTTGTTGAGAGAGAACAAGAATGTATTGGAAACACACTACCACCTGCACGACTCTGCCTGAGAGGTAAGGAAAAATACACTTACCTGAGATGATTTTTCTTATATCTCTGAAATATATGATAGTATTTTTGAAAACAATATTTTAATGTATTATTTAATAAAATATTAGTTAATTATCAAAGAAAGAAAAAATGAATAGCCATAATATGGACTTTTGTAAATACTGTGATACTGTGATGCTCAGATACAGTGATTTCCTTCTCGCATTGCTGATTTTCACGATTAACTCTTCACCTGAACAGTTTATGTTTGTATATATGGTATCATTGTAATCCTTGACCATCGAAACATAAGGGGTAGACATCACCTTTTCTGTGTTATCATGTTTGGTTCAGGAGCTATGACACAAAATACATCATTTGGTTATGGCGAAAAGTAAAATGGTCGCCATGGCAACCACAAGGTGTTTTTGCGATGGCTCCATTTCTGAAAATGTTTAGGGCCGCAAACTATACAAGTTTACCAAGTTTCATACTTTTATGAAAAAGTGAACATTATTTTCACATATCAACTGGACTTAGTGCTGGGCGGTATGACCAAAAATTTATATCACGGTATTTTTCAAAATTATACCGGTTTCACGGTACATGACGGTATTTTTTTTCATGCATGACCGGGTGTTAACCATATTTTCTACTGATTGAGAGAGGAAATACTGCAGTATATTGACTTAGAATGCCCTATTTTACTGTCACGATGAGTGAATATTGTCAAAGAAATTTAACTCAGCTTTCTAAAAGAATGTGGTTAATCACAGTTCTTTCATGATTTAACAGGAGGGGCAATTAATTTTTCACATAGGGCCAGGTAGGTTTAGAAAGTTGTTTTCCCTTAATAAATGAAATCATCATTTAAAAACTGCATTTTGTATTTACTCTGGTTATCTTTGTGTAATATTAAAGTTTTTTTGATGATCTGAATCTTTTAAGTGTCACAAATATGCCAAAAATGTAAAAACAGGAAGGGGGCAAAAACCTTTTCACGGCACTGTAAGTTGCAAAAAAAATAAAAAATTAACTTTTTCACGATATTCAAATTTTTTGAGATGCACATGCATATGTAATAATATTTCACAATATATATATATTTTTTACCGTTGTACTGTTTTTGTAATTAAATAAATGAAGGCTTGGTGAGCATAATCAAAAACATAATGGTGCCACCAAAAAACTTCTGAATGGTATAGTGTAAAATATAATAATACATAGTATCCTTAAAATTTAAGAGCTTTTTTCAGCAAATTTTGATATATGTAATTCACTGTGATTACTTTGATCAAATGAATTTGCATATCATGTCATTTATTTGATAAAAAAAACTATAACTGATTCAAAATTTCCCTACATGTATTGTTAAAGGAGACACATTATGCCCCTTTTTACAATATGTAATATAAGTCTCTGGTGTCCCCAGAATGTGTCTGTGAAGTTTCAGCTCAAAATACCCCACAGATCATTTATTATATAATTTTGAAAATGCCTATTTTGAGTGGAAGCAGAAACACGCTGTTTTCGTGCCTGTCTCTTTAAATGCAAAT